AATCAGCGTCTGAAGGGAAGATTTCAAAGGGACCGCAGAAACATCCGCCCAAACATCATTCTTGTTCTTACCGATGATCAGGATGTAGAACTTGGTAAGAGCCAGACTGTAATTTCACAAATACTGTATTGCCTTTGATTGTGTTCAGCATCTGTTCTCTACAGTTGTGGTTGAACCTTACTCTGCAGATGAACTTTTATTTTTCAGTGCAAAAAGTATGATAGAAAAAGTGGTAACCCATCATGAAACGGAAAACATTTTCCAGTAACATTCTAAATCACTGAGAGCAAACGTATCATCAATTTAAAATTTAAATAATTCTGTTTCTGAAGAATACATCCTGTTTTGGAAGGAGAACAGAATTTTTCTGTTTGACCTTATCTGCATATATAAACTGTGCTTCCTGGAATTTCATGCCCAAGCTAGGAAGCTGTGCACAAAAAGAGTAGGTTTAGATGTCTTAACAAGCTACTTAGATATGTAACTACTCAATTGCCAAATTAAGTTTCATAAAGCAGAGGCATAAATTGTTTTTCTCCCCATTCTAAATGTTTTATCTCAAAACGTTATCGAAAATATTAAAATTGTTTGGGTTATTTTTCACATAGCTATGAGTATACTTGAGTTTTATCCTAGAGAACTTAGCACCAAAGATTATCCTACTCTGATAATCCATTTTACTAGTAGATGCTTTAATTGAGGAAAGAAGATTAAGATTAAACAAATTCTTTGTGTAATGATTTGGAGCATTAATGAGGTTGACAGGGTTTTTTCTAATAAGTTTCTCTTTGCAAAATGTTACATATCAAAATTAAGTAGTGATCAAAAAGCAATTTTATGTTAGTTGCTTGATAAATTTATAAATGGGCTCATAAAGCCCAGATCTGTGTAAAATTGAGAGTTGGGGTGTGCTTGTTTCTTTTGACCATTATCAGAAACTAAATGTTCAGCCCAAAATATGTGAAAGTTTAGAAAACAAGTTTTGGGGAGCAGGGGAAATGTACAGTCATAAAGTGTAGAGAGGCACCGATACATCAGGCCAATATTGGATTGGCACTGGTATAAAGTAAATTGACAGTATTAATGGCAGTTGGCTTTTTGACTGATGGAGCCAGTAATGTCACCAATAAATGCCCGTGCGTGTGTACACCCACAGCATGCATGTGGCAGTGTAGAGTGCAGAGCACCTTCCAGCTGGTAAGCCTCGGGTGGGGGGGTAGGAAAGGGGGATGGGGAGGCAGATTGAGGCCCCTGTGTTGAGGGAGGGTGTGGGCCTGGGGCTGGGACAGGGGCAGAGCACACGATGGAGCTGCAGCTCTTTTTTTTTTTT